TGACATTTAATTTGAGAAAGGTGTTCGTTGGAGAACCTCATACAACTTTATCAATATTAATTATATAATACATTATTGTGTTATCAGTTTAATATCTGTGTCCCTTTTATATTAAGTTTACCAAAATTCTTAATAAATAAACATAGTATGTAATGCTTAATCCCTCCTTCTTTTGATAGTCATTACCAGTTAATAGTGGAACTCTCGGGGGAAATTTCACAAGGAATTAAATTTCACTTACATAGTAAAAATGAAAATATTATATATGATACAGTATTTTGTTATTTTCTCATAGTTTAACAGTATACTTCGATGTTAGTATAGTATGTAGTATTTATAAAAAACTGGATTTGCCCGCGACTTCGTCCGCGTTAATTTCGGCATAAGTAATATGTAAAAGAAAGCCCACGAATGGGGCAATACCCAACAACTACAAAACAACAGAAATGTTATAAAAATTAAGAACTACGTTAACATGAATAGTTTGGCTGTATTTAACAAATTAACTACAGAAAGAAACTTTTGTCTACAGATATTGTCTATCATAACTCTTTTTTTTTAAACGAAAAGAATGCTTATTGGCTGTCTATCGTGCCTACAAAGACCGGTAAAAGGTGCATAGCGATAATGTACTTTTGGCTAGGAGTTGAATTCTTGAGTAAGTAAATATAGTTTTTCGCTTATATGAGAAAAAGTCGAACATTTTCCGGGATGTAAAGTAGCCTATGTGTTATTCCTGGACGTCAGCTTCCTGTATACAAAATTTTATCAAAATCGGTTCAGCTGTTTGAGCATGAAGAAGTAACCAACATACACACACACACTCACCAACTTTCGCAATTATAATATTAGTAGGATACAAGCCCTGTCGTCACCACTCCCAAAAGTTATCCTTACCATTGTTGAAACTGTGATGACTAGTTAATTCAAAAAAAAATGTAAATTGATTTATATTTCATATTCTCCTCTAAATTGACAACTAAGTAACAAGTGTTTTTAAAATGTCATATTAAAATAGATACTTTTTTGAAAGTTAAACTAATATTTAAGTATAATTTTACGAGAAACTTGTTTTATAATGAGTCGACCTGTTTGATCTCAAAGTTTACTTATGGATTTTTTGTTTAGTCTCAGTCTAAATAAAAATTAGATATACAAAACAATTTAAACTGATGGCGTTTAAAGTGGCCGTGATCCATAAATCAATTTCGTTTCGATCAATAATAATTGGTCAAAACCATTATATAAAAAGAAAACAATTATAAAACATTTGCATTTTTTGGATAAACGATTGGCACTTAAATTCTATTACATTAGTATCGGTAACTTTGTTCCCATAAATTAACAATATTTATACAATTTTAATACCTTCTCAAGACGGTTTTTGCGGAAAGTTTAAGCAGCAGACGTAAGAGGAGTTCTCGATGGAAAAATTTCCTTCCTTTTTACCACAATTTTTCATCGGCACTTCACTCTTAATGGTTGCATCGTGATATAGACGTCATTCAATAGACTAGCTATTGAACTAACTAATTTTGAGTTTCAAATCAGAAGTGCCTTAGATTACTTCATTACTGAAATCAATCGAACTGTTTAGTTTTATAGTGAAATAGTTAAAAATAGTAGCAAAGCCGAGACTACCTCATATTTTATTTTAAAAAAGGATGCTACCGTAAAAAAGAAATGCAAGCAATAGATATCAGTCCTCGGACACAAAACTAAAAAAAAACCTATATTAAATGAAGATAGATCGAATCATACATCATAATTAAACTCTTGAACATTGTTTGTTTTCTTTTTCATATTTTCGAGTTTAAACTAAATTATTTACTATTTTCAATACTAAGCGAACAACCTATAAAAGTAATAATTAATGAGAATCCCCAATGGCTTTTAGAAAATTAAGAATATGTATAAAATAAGATATATTTTTTATTATTAATTTTTATTGGAATTAGACAATCTTGTTAATTATTTTAAACTAATGATCAATCAATCTTTCTCATATGTTTATAGAAAAAGGAATATTTAGCAAAATAATTTGAAAGCTTTTTTCTTGACTGGAATCCTTTCTCCCCTGATTAATTCATCATCAGGATGCCGATAATAATCATTTACGTTATTATATGTATTCTAACGTACATAATGAAATATGCAATAAAAGTCTGTCAGAAATTCAGAATTTATTGAAAATATTTGAGCAGTTAGTAAAGAAGTTACCTTTGTATAGATTGTCTCTTATTGTATATTATTATATTTTGATATGGTATATTTTGTCATTATGTATACAGGACAATTATAATAATAAATCTATTATATAGAGATGTGGATTAAGAAGACCAACTGAAATATTATGTTTTGCTATTTAACTTCAGTTGGTACTTTATACAAATAATCACACATCAAAAACTGCTTTTAAATCCCGGTTTGACATAGGTTTTTAATTGATTGTTAAACATATTTGAAATATTTTTGTACAAAAGGTAACTTGATAAGGTTCTCATAGTAAACTCTAAACGGAAATTACCAAACATTGGAAGGGTCTGAAGAGTTAATTATTTTGTGTACATCGATATAAATTTTCACACAGGAGAAGGGTCTTTGTTATATTTTATCATTTAGGAATATACCTTTATTAATAATATAATAGTAAATTCTTTTGTTTATCGAATTTCGTTTCTTTGTTACTATATAATTATTAATAAATTAATATGTTATGTTTCGTGGGTTTAAATTGAACCATTTATATCTATTTTGTTATTACTTCTGGTAGTAATGATTGCCACTTAATAGTCACTCTCGGGGGAATTTAAACAAGCATCTGTAATTGATTTTTTCCACATGTATCGCATAAGTAAAAAAATATACAATATTTTTATGGGGTTATATATATATATAATATAACCCCATAAAAATATATAATAACTTGTCATGCTTTCTCTGGTATATATTATTCTCAAAACTTTTAAAATTTATCATTCTTTCGTTAAAATTTTGATGACCGTTTAGTTCCCGAGCGACTTGTAAAATGAAATCTGAATTTTATAAACTCTTTTAAGCTGTCACCTCAAAGGCTAACGCAAATTTTTTTTAAATGTTGTATGACAGAAATACTTTTACTCTAAATTTGGTTAGTAGAAAATGTTTTCGCACACGGAAGTTATTTATTGGCTTATTTTTAGTTCACGTTTCGATAGTACATAAATGATGATCGTTATGGTGTATCAAGCCGAATAATTTAAAGTTATTTGATTGGAATGTATTATTCAAATGTTTCGTGTCAGTTGAAGGTGTCCTTCAAAACTTTTCTACTGCTACTTTACCACCTTTGATATAAAAAAAGATGTAACATACATTATCAAAGAAAGTGCTCGTCGACGTCACAATTCAACAATAAATATGATAACACGTATATGCCGCTTCGATATTTTTGAAGTCAAAATTTAGTCAGTAAAGATTTTGTAACATCAACTTTTTCTTAGAAATCCTTGAAATTTACAAGATAATCGACTATTAATACGATCCAGGTAACTAAAATTTAATTAGTCGAAAGCTATGAAAACAATCACAAATCTTTATCTGTTACTACTTGAGGTATAAATCTTAAATTACAGTAAAATAAAACTTACAGTATTGATTGTTTAATTTCGGAAATATTCCTTTCAGTTCCTAATTAGTCAAAAATACCGATCATCAAAGGTTATCAAATATCTTAATGTTTTCTTCATTTATATGTTGTTTTTATTACAATGTTAACGATATCTTTGTGGCAATTATTTCATATGATGAATGATTTTTATTGTTTTGTATGATATATACGAACTTCTTATTATATTATTTGTTCAGAAATTATGATTATACTATGTGATTTGACATGCTTATTGGCTTGAGGCAATGTTTCCTACAGGGCTTATCACATAAATTAAGTTGTTGTAATAAGTGGAGATATTATTATTAATACATATATACTGAATATAACATATATATAGTTTACTTTATGCTCGTATATGTCAATTATAAAAAAGTACATTAACCAGAAAACATTAATGTTCATTCACACACACATACATATATTTTTAAGGCATGCACTTCATGATGGGCACAAAGATATTTGCTTTTAAAGGTTTATAAAGCTATACACACTAAAGTATACAGTCCACAGCTAGATTAGGACGTTGGCTTAACTTCTTTGCCCTCTGGGAGACAAGTCAATGACAAACAAGTCCAATATCAGTATCCTTCTACACGGTTGGAATTCCAGTTTAAATTTATGAATTTTGAGTAAAGAAATTGGAATGACGAAGTATGTGCCGATGCATATGCATTTTCTGTGCGTTGTGTGTGTGTCATGGAAATTATATATTTTGACAAGATTACTCGATGGGTTGTGTTAAAGATATAATTTTCCATGTCGTTATATATATTTCATTCTAATTTCTATCTTCCTTTTTATGTCACATATATTGTTTTTCATCTCTATTTATACCAATCAACACACGTTACATGCATACAGAAAGTTCCTAGTTCCTATGCAGGTGGTTATGCATGTGACACGTTATAATTTCAAACATTATAACTATTAATTAGGCAAGTAATAAGTACTTGCTCTGACACATATAACTCATATCTTTGATTATAGACTGTTATTTTAAGAATATTCAGAAGGTATCATGTTAAGGTCACGAATATATTGAATGCACTCAATTGGCTTACGAGCCAATGTGTACAAAGTGTAATTAAAAAGTAAAAATGAAGTCACACTTCACATATAATCACATATTAACATGTTAGTATTATCTGAAATAGGAAGATTTCTGTAATATTTATGTAATGAAAAATAATAAAATCATAATAATGTCTTCATACGTAAAACGATGGAGGAATGTTACTTTGTAAGACCATTAAAATATTTATCATAGGAAAGAATTCATTGAAAATTCATATATAAATATAAATACGGTATGTACTTAAAACACATATTATTAAGTTAGTATTCAGAAATGTCGGTTTTAATCGTTGTTAATATTGTTTTGTCTTTAGTTTTTAAAGACCACTATACAGCGGGTAAGTAATAATTATATATGTAATTTAAAACAATATTAAACGTGTCCATTTATAATTTAGTATATATTCCTTGTAAAAATTGATTTATTGTTTATGTATATAAAGTAATTTTTATTGGATTTAACTTGTTTTTTATTGCATCAATTCCTCTCGATCACCTTGTCTTTCATCATGGTTGCTGAAAATAATGAAACATAAGCCTCGAGTGAAATTCAAAAGAAACAAGTTTATTCCGCAAAAAATATTTTGATTTAAATGTATGAAAAATCATAGTTGTCTCTATTGATTATGCAGCTCAAGACGTGGAGTCAGTTATTCTTTATGGTGATGATGCAAAGATAGAAGAATATCCTTTCTACGCCAGTCTTAACAATTGTGGTGCTGCTATACTCTCCCACGTTTGGATATTGACGGCTGCTCATTGTGTAGAAAACGTAGAGTAAGTAATATTAATTAGATAAATATTTGTTTGTATTAAAAAACATTATTTTTCTTGTAACTTTAAAATATTTTCAGTCGATCTCAAAGGAACTACGTTTGGGTTGGTGGAGAGTCTTTTGCTAACAGCGTACGGGTACCATACCAAAGAATACACATACACCAGGGTTACCATAAACTAAAAGGAGTGCCAGTAAACGATATCGCCCTAATACAACTCTCTCATCCTTTACAATACACTAAAAAGATTCGACCAGTTAAATTACCCAATAGATTAAAACCGAACACAAATCTTAGTTTCGTTGGCAGAGGGATTGATGAGGTATGTGAAGTTTTGTATAAATGACTCAAGTGCAACATAAATTAATTAATTATTTTTTCTAGACTGGAACTCTCTCAAAAAGTATAAAGACAGTGGATCTCATCAGATTAAATACAAGGGATTGTATTAAACTGATACCGCCCGAGTTCTCAGAATATATTATGTTCTATAAAGTTTTGGAGTCTACAAATATTTGCATAAAACGGGAAGGCGAAAGGCCAAGTATTTGCAATGTAATTAATTTAATAAAAGATTGATTTCTTGAAAATATTTAAGTCCAAAGACATTTAGAACAATAGTAACTCTATTAAGGAGAGCAAATACATTGAATTTTTTTTTCTTTATTTTGAAATAAATTTGTCTTCGTCTCAGTAACAACTGAAAAAAACTATTAATGATATTTATAAGTAATATTTGAGATTATTTCTTTGTTTGTAAGGTTATTATTATTATTTTCAGGGTGACTCTGGTAGTCCTTTAGTATCTGGTAACACTATCGTTGGTCTCGCGTCATTTATAGGTAACCTTGGTTGCAACAATGTTCGTTTAGGTTTCTTTGTAAACGTTCCAACATTTGTGCCATGGATAAAAGCAATCACTGGACTTTAACGATATTAAGTGGACTATTTGAATTTAATATATTTTTTTGTTAAATCTTTCAATAAAAAACATTACCAATTAATTTTTTTTCGAACCCAGGTATGTAAGTTTATTTTCCCTACCATTATACACAATATTACATGAAGAAAACTTACATACCTGCTCCCGTGTATGTAAGTTTTCCTCACGTAGTATTGCCAAGTCCGTACAAATTACAATTTAAATTTGTTTTGTTAGGTTTTAAATGATTTAGTAAAAAAAAAATACATATGCACACATACTCATTTACATTTTTTAATAATAATAATTTTATACAAATGAACAGTGACAAATAATACATAGTTAAAAAAGTATTGTACTGATAAAAATTATTTTATGTATGTTGCTAACAGCTAAAAATCGCGAGAAATAAAAAATGAAAAAGATATTTTTATTTTATCATATTCTACACCAGCCCTCAAAAGATTAGGATATTTTTCTATAAAGAGAGTTGTACAATGATAAACAATAAAAATATGTTTTTTGTATTAAACACATAGTATTATTGAGAAATATGTACCAAGATCTAAGATTCAGTGATCTGGAAATTTGACAAAACAGTAGAAACCATATTATTTGTCCTAAATAAATATACCCAAAAATATTTCGAAGCGATCAAGAAAGAGGCAAGACATTTTTTGTTTTTTTGTTATTATTGTACAGATTATTTGTGTTACGCAATTTATTTTATTTCACATTCTACTAAGGTAGCATTATTAAATCCGTTGAGGCGTGTAGGTGCGCGCGCGTCTGCGTGTGTGTGTATTTGAATGTGCTGTTGTAGACCCCAAACGCTTCTACCGATTTCGAAAGTTAGTTCACTTGCAGTGATTCTTTGCTATATTTAATTAAATGGCTATTGGTTTCTTTATCAAATCATGTAAGACATTTCTTTTTATGATTCGATTTATTACCTCATTGCTGCCAAAATAATCTTTAAATGACAATTGACGTGTACGGGTTTTAGAAAACTATCATAATTTTTTTATTTACTTCACTACAGTAACCACTTATAAGCGGTTTAAATTATAATAGTAACATTATAACAGTAAATTTTAGGACGTTACATGAAAAGCAGAAGGGATTTCTTAATGTTTGATTTCGTAAAACATGACATATCTAATTCTACTTCTTTATTTCATTTTGCAAGCAGTAAACACGCTTCTTTTTATTTAAGTTTCATTAGAGATGATTTATGGGATAATAATATAAAGATCTGTTTAATACAATATTCAAGCTTTTTCGAAAACGCTGTTTAGAATTCAGGCTCCTTGCGTGTCTAAAAATTTAACCCAGTGTATGGTGAGTTGTGTATGACGTTTTTCTTTGGTATTTAGTACGATATTGTTCTTCACAGATGAGACCTGTGTAACTATTATTGATCATAAGGCACGTGTATCCTCAGCCGTTGACATAATATAATAATTCCTGTTCAGATACTTGACCTCTAATAGTTCTATGAGAAGGGGCAAACTGGTTTACAAATTATAACCATACACATTTTCTCACTTTATTCTTTACAATAAAATAACAATGCGATATTTTCTGCGTAAAGGAAACAAATATAGCATAATTTAGAATCATGTATCGTTCATGAAACATAATCGAAGGATTTACAACACGTACGCTCCTCAGCTTTGTTTATCCAATAAAAAGGATACACAAGAAACCAACGACGAAATTTTGCTAAGTGTTTTTTGTTTGTTTGTTTCTTACTCAAAATGGATCAATAACATGAATGGGTGCACTGATTAAAGAATTCCCTTCTTTAATTTGTATGCTCTTTAAAATGTCTGATCGGTAAATGTCAAATAAATGTATACATTAAGTTTTCTTAATGCCATTTTATTTTCTTAACCCAATTTATGTTAAGATAGCAAATTGTTGATTGATTTTCTTATTGGTTTCGGTTTTAGACTAAATTATTAAGCAAACACAAGGGCTATTACTAGTATACAAAGAAAGCAGCAACTTATTCATGGAGATACATAATTTTATTATGTATGTAAATACCTAACATCGACAGCATGTTTCCACCCGACCTCTGCATATGATATTTCTGCAGGATGAGAATCTTTCATAAATATTAATATTGTTACAGTATTATTTGCAAAACAATACGTTTATGTCTCAATTGTATTTATTGTCTATATGGAAGTCGTTTACAAAACTGTACATGAAAATAGACAAAATATGAATCTCGAATCGCAAAGATGTTTTAATTTGAAATGTTTTTATGATCTTTCTTAAATTATCCAAAATCAAAACTTAAAAAAATGTATGTCAATAATTTGGACAGGAAATTAATGTTACATAGGAGTTTTTGATGAGGATTTTGACTTTAATGAAATGTGATGAATTTGATGACTTATGATGACCAGTGATTATCGTAGTCTTCAAAAATTGTCCTTTTAACTTGTTTGGATTCTTAGTCATAAAGAAATGATAATTTCACTGTGATTGAACATGTGTTTTAGAGTCATGTTGGAGTGTAAAATATTACTTTTAATTTTAATAAAAAATAACTTTGTAATTTTTTATTCCATATTAACTATTGCTGTGCTAAATTCCTTCTTTTCCTTCTGAGCAATTCTCTTAGAAATGGTTACATAATTGTTGCTTCATATATTAATAAAAGTTAAGTTTCTCATAATAATTGATTGCTATTAACATTACGTCATATTAACAAAAAATAATTAATGAAAATTACTTTTAGAAATACATTACATATATAATTTTTTTTTTAATGGAATACAGTCATAACATTATTTTGTCTAACAAAGTCGTAACAAGTAAAACATGGAAAGCAAATATGAAATATCAATAGTCGGCCAGAATAAATAAATCCCACGGGGCAAAGTATATTTTATCTATATGGCTTTATAAAATATTGTCCAATAAACATACAGTTTACAACCTTTGTTCTGCCCGGAGCGTGAAGACATAAACCTGAATGAGATTGCGAACTTCCAATACGTTTATTTTTACTTATGAAACCGTGTATTCGGAGTTATTATGTTACCTTGTGTATTCGTTTATTTCTTTATGTAGTAATAAATGTTCTAATATATAATAAAACATATTTTATTCAGCTTAAATACGGTAAGTAGTTTCACTTTTGCTTAGAAATAAGTAAGCTAACTGACTGTAAAGATCGAGTAATTGAAGCTTAAACTAGATGTTTCATCGTGTCACTTTAGAGATCGTCTCTTTGGATTCATAATGACGTCACATGTGTTTTAAATAGACGACGTTAATGATGGTTTTATCGACATCTCATGTGTTACAAATATTTTAAAACTCGTAAAAGGAGAGATCGTAATACAGACATTATCTAAGTAGTTCATTTGAAAAATAACATCCATATTCAAATTCAATATTTCGGTTAAAATGATAATATTGAAAGTATTACGTACCTTTAGTATGTTATTTAAAAATATATATGTTTGTAGATAAGGTATTATAGGTTGTATCTAAAAGTATGCTTTTTAAGAAGGATCATGACGTTATTTTTTTATATATACGTATATAATGGTACTATGTACAAGAGTCATCGAAAGACGTATGAAGCAGCGATTTATTTCTCATTGAAAAGTATATATTTCGAGTAATGACATACTTACATAAAATGTTTATATTGTATCTTTTCTTGAATATAAAAAAAAGTCCTAACATTTAATATGAAATAATATTCATGGAATGGACAAATTTTAACTCTTAACTTACAAAACAATATTTTACTATAAGGTATCTCATGCATAGAATATATAAGTTTATAGTTGTTCAGATAATTCTAAAACCATTGAATTATTGAATGTATCGTAACAATTAATTGACACACGTAAGGCCAGTGAAGTTAGTAAGGTAAGGGACGGAATCCACAAGTCATATTGTAAGATTAATGGTTCTGGTAACGTGATATAATATTATGGATACGGATATGCTCCTGGCTTCACATAACTCAAACTGCATTCTGACAAGAAACATAGAGCAGCAATACTGAGGAGATGATAAATACATTCCTTGTTTTAAACGTGTTTAAAATATGTTTGTTTATAAAGGTTTACATACTTTGGTAATTAAAGTTGGCTCAAAATATCTATTGCCTTATTATTTATTTTTTCATATAGCTGTTTATTTATTTTTTCACTTTTGTCATTAGACAAAACGAACAGATAGGTTCATATGTTGAAGCTACCTAGAAAAACTTTCGGGAATATTTGAGTTGGAACATTATTCTTGTATGTTTTTGCTGCTTCTTAAGATAATTTACAATTTTGGACACATTGTGTTGTGATTTTAAAATAATTGTAAAGGTGTTTCAAATGGATTGAAAAAAATTGCTTAGGTATACGTTTCTTTGTGTTATTTTTATCAAATGTCTCCGATATTATATAAGGTTGTCATAAGACTTGTGGGATAGTTGAAGTAAATTTTTCAACCAAAAAATACGTAGAAAGTTATTCCAGTCACTTACAATGCAGATCTTCTAAACAGGCTCATTTAACCCCCTAACTTTATACCAAGGTCTGAAAGGGTAAAAGAGAGAGGAAGACTAAAGAAACTCGATTTAGAACTTTAAGACCATCTAGAAAGTGACATTTTTAATTTATATATTGAAGACGGATGTTGCGAATAAATTTATGTTTGTATTACTTATGATATTTTCACCTTTTCTGGCTAAAAATGAAATAAAACGAATTTATAAAGATATTAGGGGCAGCAAATATTTTTGGCCAACTATTCTCACAAAATTTCGATACCAAATAGAATGTAGAAAAAATTCGTTTTAACTAGGTACTGATTAATCAAACTTTTTCTTCAGTCATACGTTAAAAATCTTTTTTTTCAGTATGCTTTTCTTTTATAACATCTGAAGCTATAATGTATTCTTTAAAATGCTTTTGAATAAAAAACTCTGATTGACTATGGATGTATATTGATTTGTAAATAATTTTTGTTTTCTTCAT